TGTGTGCTTCAGTTACCATGTGAAACTGAATTAGCAATAACTGCAATCCGTTTGCTACACTCCGTGAAACAGTCGTCGCACTATCTCTACTCTATTTGCACGTGCACATTGTGCGCGGGGGGCCCTTGAGATTAACTACACGTGGTTTATGGAGCGTGATGATCAGCTACACATGAATGTGGATATGTGCGCGTGCTAGTGTGTCTATTATTCTAACTTCTCAGAATATTGACCAAATATTAATATGGACTGGTGACATAAGTGAGTACCAACATTTGCCAATTACTAAAAGTGTGAAAGGTTCATAATACGTATGTGAAACTCGCTTACTTGTCCACAGTAAATTAAGAGATAGACCCTATTCAGTTTAGTTTATGTAAGATGACTTTACTTGAATCATGTTGCTGCCTACTTGTTAGCTTTTTGTATTTCTATTTGATTGAATGTCCTTGACTTTTTGAAGGCCGAAAAACCGTCAATCTCGACAAAGGTTAAATCTATTGGGAAGGGAAGGGGAGGACTAAGTAAAGAGATTTGCATGTATTCCAAATGTTTTACTTGTTTCTGTTTCTACTTTTACTTGTACAAAGACATATAAAACAGGCAACCGCGATCGGAACGATCTCATTCCCGTGCACAAAACAGGCATACCCTTATAGCTATTTAGACTGTCTGACAACAAGTTACCGGCAACAGTGCTACATGTTAAATGATTTTCATTGCTTTTTATATCTAACAACTATCCGACAAATTGCTATGCACTTCTCAAGGAAAACTGGTAGATTTTATAATGTGAAATGGAAAAGCTGAAGGTATTATCATATAACTGTTGAACTTTCTAAAAAAGAAGAAAGGCAATATTTACTGTTTACAAGATGTGCACTTCACATCTCAACAAATCAACCTAATAAAACAACAGTGGGGTTGCAGTGAATGTTATGTAAGTACTTACACCTCCAGTGCTCGAGGAACTGCTATGTTTTTTAATAATAATTTCAGCTTAAAAGTACTGAGCTCCAAACTCGATGAGGATGGTAACTATGTGGCTTTAAAGATCCTCAAAGATGAAATTACATATACTGTTATTGCCATATACGGGCCAAATAACGATGCACCAGAATTCTACGATAATATAATCAAAATGGTTATGGACTTAGATAGTGATAAAATATTCCTTAGTGGTGATTGGAATCTGGTGCTAAACCAACGATTAGACACTTATAATTATAAGCACGAAAACAATACAAAAGCTAAGAAAAAGGTAATGGAACTTATTGATGCCTTTGATCTTAAGGATCCATGGCGAGAAGCTAACTACGGGTGCAAAAGATACACATGGCGTCAACCAAACTTCCTGAAACAGGCGAGATTAGATTTTTTTCTTGATAACACATGACTTGATGCCACCAGTTAACTACGTTAACATTTCACCGAGTATAAACTCAGATCACTCATTAATAGAATTGTCCCTCTCTACTTCCGGTTTAAGTCGTGGAGCAGGCTTTTGGAAATATAACAGTTCTCTCTTGAAGGACAGAAAAATATGTCGATTCTATAAAGGAAACTATTAAAACAACGCTCAAAGATTATGAAGTAGCAGATGAAAACATTCCCTCAAAATACTCTATGAATGATCAATTATTATGGGAGACTACTTCTGATGATCCGAGGTAAAACAATTTATTATTCTTGTCACCAAAAGAAAATACGTGCAAAAAAAGAGAAATCGCTAGAGCATGTGTTAGAAAATATTGAGGAAAGTTTCGATTTATCAAACAATCATGCTAGAAAACAAACAATACTGGAAAATATTAATACAATTAAAAACGATTTGGATGATATGAGTGATATTAAGATTAAAGGAATGGCGATAAGGTTGAAAGCAAAATGGATTGAACATGGTGAGAAACCAAGCAGATATTTCCTCAAACTCGAATCCAGACACTTTCTAGATAAATCAATCACAAAGGGAGTAAAATCTGACGGAACAATAATTACAGATAATTATGCAATACAAAACGAAACTAAACTTTTCTATGAAAAATTATATACAGCCCAAAACAATAGTCAGATAAACTTGATTGACTACTTCAAGGGTGTTGATGTACCTAGACCAACAAAAGCAGAATCTGAGAATCTTGAAGGAGGACTAACATTATCCGAACTGTCAATAGCATTACAAACAATGAAACATGAAAAAAGTCCTGGCCCCGATGGTTTTACTGCGGAATTTCTAAAACTCTTCTGGAAAGATCTGGGCTCCTTGTTGTTAAAATCCCTAAATTACGGATATAATAAAGGCAACTTGTCAATCACCCAAAAGCAAGGTCTTATAACGTGTATTCCCAAAGGGAATAAGCCTAAGAAATTCCTTAAAAATTGGCGACCAATATAATTATTGAACACTTCCTATAAAATTGGTTCAGCGGCAATAGCTAATAGATTTAAAAGAGTTTTGCCAAGTATTATTAATGAAGACCAAAAATGCTTTATTAAAGGGAGATTCATAGGTGAAGTTACTAGATTGATTTATGATCTAATGGAACACACAGAGACCTACCAGATACCTGGGTGCCGTTGTACAAAACAACTTTAGCGCTAAGATTACCGTAAGTCTATGTTAAGGTATGGGAGTTACGGTTACCTTAGCGCTAAGATCGTTTTGTACAACGGTCCCCAGGACTACTTTTATCAGTAGTCTTTGAAAAAGCATTCGACTCAGTTGATAAAATTTATTTGATACATGTACTATCGTTTTTTTAACTTTAGTTCAAGTATTATTAGATGGATTCAGACTTTCTATAATGATATAGAATCTAGGATTATGGTCGGTGGTGTTGCTACACAACCTTTTACGACTGAACGTGGGTGTCGCCAAGGAGATCCTGTTGCACTATACTTGTTTACTCTATGTGTGGAAATATTAGGTGTAATGCTACGTAAAAAAGATAAAATCAAAGGACTTAGTATCGGTAACATAGGATATATTCTGTCGCAATTTGCTGATGACACTACTCTTACATTAGATGGATCCGAAAAATGCCTCTATACAGTTCTGAACGTCTTGCAAATATTTGCTTGCTTTTCTTGTTTAAAGGTAAATGCTGACAGGACAAAACTCATTTGGATTGGTTCAAAAAAGAGATCACGTTACAACTTACTTGTATATAAAGAATACAACTTTGATTGGTCCCAAACAGATTTTAGTCTTCTGGAAATTAACTTTAATCTTGATCTTGAAACAATGACTGAAGATGGACAAAATTGCAAACATCGAAAAACAAATGAAGATTTGGTCAACGTGTTCGTTATCTCCTTTTGGGAGAAATACTATTTTAAAATCCCTTCTACTTTCAAAGTTAAATCATCTATTCTCAGCCCTTCCAAATCCACCAAAATCACTACTCGATAAATTACAAATAGCATGTTTCAGATTTATATGGAATAATAAGCCGGATAAAGTAAAAAGAAACATAATCACTTTAAACACAGATCACGGTGGGATCAGGGTACCAGATGTACAAAACGTAATCTATGCTCAAAAACTTAAATGGATAAGTAGACTTATTACTTCAAATAATAAATGGGGACATGTTATTCTAAACAAAATACCTAGTCCATATTCCATCTGGTCTGGTAATTCAAAGCAAATTAAAGAAATATGTATTCCAAATTTATCCAATAGATTTTGGAAAGATGCTTTTACTGGATGGGAAGTCTTTCTTGCAAAATATGAATCAAGTATATTATCAGAAAACCAAATTAAAAGTCAAACTATCTGGGGTACTCCACCATAACTATTGATGACAAACCGCTAATGTATGAAAACTGGAAGATTAAAGGTGTAGCCTTGTTAAAGATATTGTACATGAGGAAGGTAGGTTATTAGCTTTCGAAGAATTTTCCAAAAAATATCAAATAAAAACCCATTTTTAACATTTGAAGGAATCAAAGCAGCAGTAAGGTCATACACACACAAACATAAATTTACAAATTTTAAGAACCGCTCAAAATTCCATCTTTCCCTTTAACTACCAATCATTAAATAATTCTGCGGGAAATAGACGTTTATATAATATTTTGAATTCATCCTTCATCGTGCTACCATGCTATTCCAAATGGGACCGTGTTTAGACAGATATTTCACTGACAAAGAATGGATGATTTATAACATTATCCCTAACAAATGTACTAAAAGTCCTAAACTGAGGTGGTTACCATATATGATTATCCACAACATTTTACCAACACAATCTTTTCTTTCTAAAATAAAATACATAGAATCACCACTTTGCTCCTTTTGTAAAAAAGATATAGAAACTACTGGCCACCGCTTTTGGAAACGTGAGCATGTAAAGTAAACATGGAACGAAGTAACAAAATGGCTTCATGCTGTTCAACTATCAGTAAACTTTACGTTTGAAAAGGTTTTGTTTGGAATTAAAGGTGAAAATAATAATCCTATAAATGTAATCATCCTTCTAGTCAAACAAAATATATTCAAAAGTGCTTCTGGAAACTATTTGCCTAATATCAATACATTAAAATAGACGTTATTAAGTAATATGATGCTACTAAATATCTCCATTTATCAAATGGTACTGAACAATTTTGGCCAACGTTTCATTTGTTGTTAGGATAGCTCTATATTAGTCTGAAATACCGTGTACACGTCTTTACACAGTATGTACCTCAGATGAATCACCATGTACTGTTTGCTGCCTACCTGTATGATCCTATAATGTATGCCTGTAAAAAATATTGAAACTAAAGAAAGAAAATTGCTATTGGAAAGTAAGTATGTTGGGTATTAAGTATCAACGGGGAAAATAATAAATAGATGTACATCAAGTCAAGACCCAAGGCCACTATATCCCATTAAAGGATAAATGAAGAGAACATGAAGTTTCCAAAAATTATCCTTATAGAACTATTTGCTGAAAGTAAGTGCCAGTGTAACCGGAGTGGTTTGGTATATACCACAAAGGCAAATAGTTTTTGTAGATGTCAGTTTAATGGCAATAACTGAAGAAGGCCCTGTAAAAGAATAAATACATTGCATCAAAATACGCTACAATACTTCATGGGCCAATACATGTGAGGCTTAGCAATAAGTACTGCAATCACATATAATCACTATTCATTAATCAGGTCACAGAGTAGACATGTGTATATGTATATAATGTTTATATTTCAAGATACACGTGTAGCATCATACAAGTACATAACATGATTATTTCCAATATAATATGAAAGAACCCTCACCGAGTGTATGGCACTGTGCCCGTTACCGTCACAAACGTCAGGAACTATGTTTGCCACACCTGAAAACATAAAATACACAATCCAAATATAAACTAACCTGTGATAAGCTGTTGCTAGCTGTGACCAGTGACCAGACAGACTGAAGTGAAAATGATAGCTGACCCACAAAACACCCTGCTATTGAAACTAAGGGGCCTGGGGCTGGGGCAAGACAATAGAGACAATAGACAACGTAAGCGCAAGGGTGACAGTGCTATTGTGAAAGTGAAGCAGGTTAGATTGAGTGGTTAAGCTAGGGCTAGACTTAGTGATTAAAATACAAATTAAAATACACTTGCTTATGTATACATAATTACATACTCCTACACCAGCATTTTCAGACAATATGTTACTAACTTTGGAAGGAGAATTAACACATGTCAGAACTCTTGAAACATTTACAAAAATGAACAGATTCCAGGCCTGGATGGTTTGACAGAGGTTTGATTGTATTTTGTCTTGGATGATCTAAGCATAGATATAATCCACTCATTAAATTTTGCATATATACTCAGCAGCAAAATAAACGTCAGTACGAATTCAAAATTAGATAGGCACTGTAATCAAATTATTACAGAAATGGACATAATAAGCGGATCAAAAACATTTTTGAGCACAATATCTTGACACATCAATAATGAACTCGGCACAATTTCAAGACATTACGTGAACCTTTGCAGTCCGTTCAGACCGCAACGGAAACTCATCCAGGTTTCCATCCCTTGACTCGTCTGTATATATCTTGTCTTCACGGAAGAAGTTCTACATCCGTATTGTTGACACTGATGTGGTTATGTTGGCCATAGCTGCATCAAACATTCTCAATGTTTCAGAGCTTCACAGGCCGTGACAGTGTGTCATCCTTTGATGGAATTGAAAAGGCCTCGTGGAATGCATGGAACGCTTTTCCTGAACTTACGGGCACCTCTATTTCCCTCACCTGTCCATCACTTGAAATCACTAATCACTAATGCTGATTCATCACCTTGAGGGGTTTGTTGTACTGCTGTATGACAGAGCAAGCCACCTCATGAAGGTGAATGAAGCAAGAAAGCACTTGTTCACCACGCAGGGTAGAACACTGGACAATATTCCCCCAGCAGAATCAGCTTTGATCCAACATGTAAAGTAAGTTGTAAATCAGGGGAGTTAAGTTTGGGAGCAATCCCTGATGATATCACAGGAGTTACCAAGCCCTCTGGATAGGTGCTGGCAATAACTCCCTACGGGAGAGCTTGGACCTATATGGACAACTCTTCTGGTGCCATGAAAGGGCTGCCAGTAATTGCTGAAATGCATGTGTAAAAAATGTTCAAACTGGTCCAAGTGCGTTAAAACAGCGCTTAAAGGTCAAATGCAACCAAAAAATCAAACATAATTAAAACACAATTATCACTTATTCATGACATATAATATACATTGCTGGTTATGAAAAAACATATAAACAAAATTATAAGCGTTCAATCGCAAATCAAAAGTGCAATAAGTTGTACTTCGGTTTACTTCCCAAGAAACGAAGCAGCCAGGATACCGAACCCAGTCAGAGCGGGTGGGTGTGCACTCAAGTGTAACGGCTTGTTCATTTGCAGATGCCCTCACGGCTCATTGTGTGTGTATATATATAGAGATGTTGGTTTTGTAAATACATGCTCATTTTTTGTGTACATGTATAACATTTTGCAATCAACAGACATCATAACATGTCATGTGTACAAGTATCACACCTGCCTGTTTGTGTAATTACATAATGTGACAGAGACCGAACTGGGGCCATAAATAAATGCGTTTTGTTTATGGTGTATAGCCTGATAGGTGTTAAGTTCAAATTGCATGTGGTCAGTGATCGAAGTTGTGTATTGAATATTGTCATTAGCAGAAAGGCAGGCAGACACACAGGTGTCAATAAAACAGACATTTAGCTTTGTCTGTGACAACAACATATCTATATTACAGTTAGAAATTCTGTCAATGCTAAATAATGACATTGCTTTTAAGTATCGAACTGAGAAAGTGCCTGGGTAAGAACGTGTGGTGAAATAGACAAATGAAATAATATGAACAGTTAAATCGGTAATCTACTGTAATAACATATAAAAAGCTCCCGCCTATGAAATATCACCAAAACATTAGAAAAATAGCTCACACCAAAGCCTTCACCGAGTATTCACCGGACAACCCGCTTCCAATCTGCGCGAACCTTTTTCACTGCGCATGTGCTACGAGCGCATCCCAGCTGTTGAAACCACTTCAATTCTCCCAAGCGCTGGGGGAAAATTAGTGATCGTTTGAACTCCGATTTCGCGCGTTTTTTTCATCACGTTATTTTTCAACTTTATAAGTTGAATTTGCATTTTTGATGATTTGTTTCGGTATGTCCATACCGAAAGGTAACAGAATCTGCAAAGTTGTGTTTTACGTTGCATGTGGCCTTTAAGTGCAGTGCACTTTTCTGATTCAGTCAAGCTAGATACAATTACACATGATTGAGTAACCTTCCACAGATTGACGAGACAGCAACTTTGAGATTGATGTTGTACGGAAGCGTAGTAGGGCCACGGTGAAATCTTTTTGGGTCTTACTATCTCCTACATAGTACTTAATATCTCCTACGTAGGACTTAGTATCTCCTACGTAGGAGACACTAAGTCCTACGTATGAGATAGTATGTCCTACGTATGACTTAATATCTCCTACGTACGACATAGTTATCTTAGATACCCACTAAGGAGATACTAAGTCCTATGTAGGTGATACTAAGTCCTACGTAGGAGATAGTATTTCCTACGTAAGAGATACTAAGTCCTACGTCGGAGATAGTATGTCCTACGTAGGAGATACTAAGTCCTACGTAGGAGATATGAAGTCCTACGTAGGAGATAGTGACCCCCCAAAAAATTTCACCGTGGCCCTACTACAGTTCCGTAATGTTGAAATAAAATACGTTTGCGTACATTTTGATATGTTTTTTTAATAGGTGATCTATAACCAACCAAGCTCATACATTATACATGTAAGTAAATCTTATTTTATGAGGATTTAAACTTGAGTTCAAATAACATTTTGTAGAAAATTCAATTTTTCCCTACTTTTTCCCTTCAAAGATGAAAAAATGGAAACAATCTGCGAGGCTTCTCATATTGAATTTGCAAACAAATGAAAATAAAATATTAGATCATGGGATGATCTCATACTTATTTTACTGATATAGACTACATGATGGTCATTTTTCAAAATGGCCGCCAATTTTACCATTTTTGGGTAGTCATGGTATAAATTGACTTCCGTAAGATCTAACCATTAAAGATAAAGACATGCATAGATGGAAAATGATCAGCTATGTATTTCCTACAATTTGATGTGTGACTTATGAGAATCGGAGAATTTTAAGTTATGACGAAAATAGTAGAAAAAATATAAAGTTTTTCACTCCTCCCCCCAAAATTATGAAAAGATAAAAGATCTGCGGGGCCTCTCGGTCTTTATGCAATTAAAAGGGTATAAGTTATTATCATGCCAAATTTCATGCTTGTAACGCAAAGTGCACAATTTGATCACTTATCCGCTGGGCTAGAACCCCACTCTGAGAAAGGCCTGGCTCAATAAATCGGCTTCCACCCCATACCATGATGCTTGCACCTCCCCATGAGTCTCTTTCGATAACACATTGGTCTAAGTAACGCTGGCCACGTCGTCGCCATATTCTTGTTCTGCCATCTGCAGTTGATACGCAGTACCGACTCTCATCTGTGAACAGAACAGTTCTCCATTGCCTGTATCTCTAGTTTTGGTGTTGTAGGGCAAACTGTAGACGTTCACACCGATGACGAGATGTAAGGATAGGTCCACGGCAATCGAGGACCACAATAAACACACCATGGCTTATGTTCCTTGGAAATGACGTCATTGGTTCTTGACTGATAAACGAATGACGTTTTTAGACGTGGTGCAGGTATAGGTGTGGTTCTTGTGGTTCGATGCGCAGGCTATTGTTTTAATCCACTTGTAGCCTGCTCGTCAGCTGGCTATGTGATCAGTCCAACAGTGTGATGACGTTGCAGTTTGAAAACAGTATACTAGTACATTGTAGAAAAAGTGTTAGGACGTAACTAAACTTTACAGCATTCAACCGGAGTGGGTCGCCTTTCCAACAGCGTCTTCTTTCACCCAAACTAAAGCGTATATGCGCTACATCCATCGATGAATATGCCGGCATTCTATGTTTGGTACTTAATTCCTACACAGATCGTACAGTATATATCCCTCCTCTTCAACCTTCTAACCGTGAAGATCCGGGCTAGAATTGGTCTTGAGCAACCCATGCTTGACATAAAAGGCGACTAATGGGATCGGTTGGTCAGGCTCGCTGACTTTGTTGACATATGTCATCGGTTCCCATTTACGCAGATCGATGCTCATGATGTTGATCCCTGGATTGTCTGGTCCAGACTCGATTTTTTACAGACCGCCGCCATATAGCTGGAATATCACTGAGTGCGGCGTAAAACTAAACTCACTCACTTCAACCTTCACTTTGATGGTGAAACCATGTCCAAATACATCACGAAGAAAATCGCAGTTTTGAATTCTGTTTGCATCGTTTTTTCTATGATATCACCCGCTCATTGTTGGGCAAATTTAACCTAACGCTAACCCTAACCGTTCAAAGTGAACTGTCAGACACATATTGCATAGTAATATCACATCACATGTATGTCGGTTATGCTTCGCCCGTTACATCACATCTGTAATTCAACTGTAATCTTCCTTACACGAATCCCTGAATTCCCCATACAGTTCAAAATGAATTTACAAATGGTCATTGTCAGCAATACCAAGTGCCTCCGTGAAATCTAGCTACATATTTCTGATGCCGCGCTGGGAAAGGACCACCAGGTCTTGTTTGAAATATAAACAAAGTCACAGTGTATCATTTTCTCATACTGTGAGAGATCCTTTCGCCTACTAGTTGCATACGCTTGCTCATTCACAAGGTTTAGAATATGCATGGGAAAGGTATCGTAGCA